CCGATGTGGGGCACAGTGATGCTCTCCACACCGAAATCCTGAACCTCTTCCCCCACGCAGCTCGGCAGGAGAGGTCGGTGTTCATGGGCTGAAYTCCAGCCTGGATTTGGGCTGGGATTCTCCTTTYCTCCCACTGAYMTTGCTCAGGGATTTACCTGGAGCACAGTTACCCTACAAACCCCCCCAAATTTTGATGCTGACTCACAAGATGAAGAATTCATTTTTTTATTATTTTTTCAGGACTTCTGCCTTGCTCACCTACAAGATCCCCGTGGCAGATGCGCTGCCTCTGTCCAGGTCCTTCTCCAAGCTAGAAGCAGGTACAAGGAAACAACCAGTTAAATAAGGAAATTAATTCCAAATTGTCGGCCTGGATTTGGTTTTTAAGGATATTTTCTCCATCCTTTTGCAGCCAAACGGAATTTCAAGCTTGAGGAGTACAGCTTGTCCCTGAACACTTTGCACCAGGTGGGTTGATGTGGGAACTMCAGGTCAGGAACTGCCCATGGAAAGGGAAGAAATGACCCGTGAGCAGCACRAATATGGTCAGTCCTGGGCAGGGATGGGGTGGTTTTCACTGTGTCCCCTTGCAGGTGTTCGTGGACCTCACCAGGGACGCAGAGGAGCACGACCTGGAGGTGGCATCCAATGGGGCTGTGGAGCAGAGACCCCTTCAGCCCTGAGCCTTGGAGCCACAGTGGGAAAAATTCCATTTATTCCGTCAGAATTACTGGATTCCATCAGAGTTACTGGATCCCACCAGAATTACTGGATTCCATCAGAGTTACTGATACCTGTGACCACTGCAGCCCCACAATTTTGGTCACACACAGCCCTGCAGGTGTTCCGCCTCCCAAAGAGAAAAAAAGAATTATTATTTTAATAAATAAAGCCTTTATCCTTTGACAAATGGATAGCTGGCGCTCATCTCTTCTCCTGGCTGGACTGGCCCGTGCAGATTTGCTGTGCTGAGGAATAATGCTGGGGTGAATTCCTGATCCCAARGCTGCGAGAGGGGGCTCAGCTGCTGAAGAGAATCGGGGTCTGACACCTCCCTCAGCCATGGCAGGAGGATTCCAGGTCTTTGCCTTGCTCAGTCCTGAAATTCACCCCTCTGGCTGGTGGAATGGGGCCAGCAAAGGTAATGACCCCCTCAGGGAGGGTCACAGAGCTGTGTTTTCACCCAAAAAGCTGCTCTTGCTGTGAATTCCAGCTTGGCCCAACTCATCCCCAGCACTCTGACCATGGAGAGAAGAAAGGACTCAGAAAAATAACATTAAAACTGGTWGCTGTTATATCATCATCTATAAACCCAGTTGTTATTTAGAGTCAAAATAAGGAGGGATTTGACCCAAAATAGTRGTGAGGAAGGACAGCAGGCCTGGGAGGGATGGGGGCAAGGACCAGCACCCTGACYCTGTGTGAGCAGATCAGCATCTCCTCTGGGATATCTGCCTGCCAGGGCTAGAGATAAAAAGGGAAATTAAAAACCAAAAATGAATAGAATAGGAACTCCCTGCATCCTGGTGTTTGCCCTTTTGTCCTGTCCCCCAGCACTCCTGGGGAAAGCTGGGCTGGGGACCTTGCAGAGGTCAGGGGCAGTGCCATCCATGGAATGGGCACAGCAGGCAGGGCTGTGGGCCAGCAGGTGGCTACTGTGGCTCAGAGATGGGGGGCTCCTACCAGGAAGGGTCCCCATGAGCCACCACCCCAACCCCACCCCAATTCTGCTTCCACGTGGATGTCCCACTGTCAGCACTCTGCCAGGGAACACACTCTGCGTGAGATCCACTCAAGGGTTGGGTTTTTTCCTTTAGAAAGTAGGATAAGGTTTGGGCACCAGGAGATGTTCTGGGGACAGGTTTTAACCCCATCCCATGCCCTGGCTTAGTGCAGCTCTGCAGTCTGYCTGGCTCTGAAACATCTCAATGGGATTTAAACCTTAGGGGGGGATTTTCCTGCTGGGCAGAGCAGAGGGAAGCAAATGTAGCTCCTCCACTTTCCCAAGCCCAGTCTCTGTCCCAGCTGCTCCTGCTCCCTCCCTGGTCCCTGAGCCCCAATGAGCCCGGGGATGCTGCCGTGGGTGACCACACTCCCCAGTCTGGGGTGGAACCAAACCCATCCCCTTTACAAGTGCAGAGTTAGYCAGGAAAAGCTCATTTTCCTGTTTCCAGGATGCTTTTTAGCTGGAAGAGCTGTTGCTGTCCAGGAAGCAGCACTTCCCTGCTCTCTGGCTGATGCCACCGGAGCAGTTTTCCACTGTTTGTCCCCCTTTCCTGTGCCGTGACATCGCTGTTCACTTCAGCCTCTCCTGCTGCACTGAGGAACACAAYGGGGTTTGCCAGAGAAAGGATTTTTGTGTGTGTGGTTTGTTGCAGAGCTTGTTTTTCCCCTCTTGGCTACGGCTCAAGAATTTCCTGAGTGAACTTTTCGGACAGTCAGCTCCAGCGCCTCGTCAGCGATGAGCTCCGTTTGCTTTTTCTGACACAAATAAAGCTGAAGTTCTGCCAGGGAGGAAGGAAAAGAGAAGCCATGGTGTCAGGAATGCTTTTTGCAGAAGCGCCTGAGTGAAAGAACGCTTGTGTGGACAAAGGAGCAGCGAGAGCGGCCGGACAGCTGGACAGTCCAGCTCTGGAGCCTCAGCACCTCTGCTCCTCCAGGACATTGCAAAGGACAAGCTCTGGATTCCTTTCACACCTTCCCATCAAGGTAAGGCTGAAATATTCTTCTTAGGGCAAATAAAAAATGTTATTTTATAGGTATGAAAACATCCTTTAAATGATAATGCTGTTAATAACACCGGGTGAGGATACAGAGGAGTAGGGGGGGCATGGAGCGTTAAGTTTGTCATTAAGCTTTGGGGTGTTTAAAGGCAACAGAGTATTTTTAACTTTATTTTGAGGTGAAATGACACAGAAGTGGAGCTCARTTTATGGCAGAGGTTTATCTCCAGTGTTTCTGGGTGCTAAGAGGAGCCAGTRGGTTCAGCTCAGTATTTTCTATAATCCAGCATTTACAAGGAGCAGATTCCTTTTCCTACCTGCTGCATGAGCTAAAGTTTGAATTTTAAAAGTTCTGTCCCTCTCACGGTCTTCAAAGTTGCCCCTAAAATACTGAAGCAGCAGAGGAATCAGCTGCACAAACCCTGCAGCAGCACGGCCAGGGGCAGAGAGCAGAGGGGTGACACGAGGGACGTGTGGGATTTCTGGGGTGAGCTCCTGCTGGGCCAGTTCTGCATCCCAGCCAGGATCTCCTGGCACTCTCAGGACAAGCTGGCACCTGCTTTAGCTGTGCCCCAAAAGCTGTGACAGCAGTGGAGCTGGGTACAGGTGACACAGTGTCCTAACCTCCCTGCTGTCAGGTGAAAAGAGACCAAATAACTGCAAATTTAACTTCCCCAAGGAAGTCTAGGGGTTGTTACTTTGGCTAAATTCAAAATTTTATACACCTGGATTTATGAAGATTATCTGTGAGGAAAAAAAATCTGTTTAGAGACTATGGCAAAAGCCAGGGCTGGTGTTTGTAGAGGGCACCCTGGGCTTTTCCAGTGTTCCAGTGGCTGCTGTCCCACCACGGGGAGATCCAAATAGAAATATTTGAAAGAAAATAAAACTCTTGTCTTGCCTGTCAGCACCACGAGGCACCGTCCCCCAGGGGAACAGGACAACATAAATCTTCCTTCCCTATGACAGGAAGGCTTGAAAGGGTTGGGTCTGTGAAAACTCTGATATTTTTACCTGAGAATCACTTAGAGAAGGTCAGGATCTTGTTTAAAAGCAGATTTTAGCTGCAAATGTGACAGCAGAGCACTTTGGCTGGGWGAGCAGAGCTCTTTGCACAGAGGTATTTAATCCTTTTGCTCATTAGAGGTTCTCATGATTATTTTATGAGTGGTTAATACGCAGAGATTTCATCTGCAAAAACCTGACGGGAAGATCTTTATGCTTTGCTTCTTTCAGTTCCCACCACCAGCACAAATCCAGGCAAAATAATCCTTGTTTTGCTTTGACCAGAGCATTTGAAGGGTTCTGCCCTGTCTTTTGTTGTGACACACCAATGCCTGCCCGTGGCTCCCTGCTTTTCTCTCATTTTTCATGAAAAACCCGGCAATGACATCTCTCCCACGCATTTCCAAGAATTTGTTCTCCCGTGGCTCCACATTTCCTTCAACAGATGCTGTTTCCAAATGAGCTCAGCTCCCAGAACAGCCAGSAGTTGCTCAACACTTGTTGGTGTTGAGCCTACAGCACGTTCAAATTACAAGCAAATGGATTTTCGTGATTTTAATTGACAATATTGTTGTTATTTCTTGGCCGTGAAGCCCACCCAAGCTGATTAGGTCATGCCATGTGATTTTCCCTTTTTTTATTTCATCAACAACTCCTCCCAAACTCCCCATGGTGCAGCACGGAAGGCTGAAATTCTGATTTTTKTCAGTGTTTGCTGTTGAGCTGTGAGGGTTGGAGTGTGTTGAGGGTGATGATCTCTCCTGAACCCTGTGCTGTGGGGGTGGTTGTGCTCAGCACAACATCTGAGTTCATTCAACTCTCAATTTATTCATTTTTTTAAATTTAATAAACTCTCAGTTTATTCAATTCTTGCTGTGAAAAGGGAGAAAAACTGTCACTGCACATCTGCAAGGGATGTGAAAATAAAACCAGTTGCTGGTGGTTTAGCTTTGGTTGTATCTGAAAACAATTATCAAAACGAAGTTTTTTTCCAGGTTTAAAGATGAAGACGCTCCAGAGGAATATGAGTGTATTCCAACAGACTAAAATCCTCTTGTGGAAAAATGTCCTGCTCAAGTGGAGGATGAAGATGCAGAGCTTTCAGGTAAGAAAACATTTTAAAAAATAAAACCAAAGTAGCAGCAAACCACTGGGAGTGGCCAATCCCTGCCTGCCCCAGACACCAATTTCTTTGGGTGAAATTAGAAATTAAAGTCCTTTTGAAAAGCCTGTCTGATAATGAACACTTGGAGACTATTTTTTTTTTTAAACTGGTGATATTCATGTCTGGTTTGTCACAAATTCGGGCACAGATGGGCTCTTGGATCAGGTGATGGGTACAATGCAAAGATTTTCTTCATTAAACTCTCGGAAACTGGTGTGACTGAATTCCTCTTGGTTATATTTTAACCCCACAAAAACTGAATTCCTCTTGGTTATATTTTAACCCCACAAAAACKGAATTCCTCTTGRTTRTATTTTAACCCCACAAAAACTGAATTCCTCTTGGTTGTATTTTAACCCCACAAAGACAAAATTCCTCTTGCTTCATATTTCAATCCAACAAAGAATATTTTATTTTTTGCACTGGCAGTTTTTCCACTGCCATGAAATTCTCTCTGCTGCTGTCCCTGGTGTAGGAGTGGATCCTGTCCCTGCTCTTCCTGCCCATGTTGTTCATGGTGTCCTTGTTCGTGTTGAACATCCGCTACCCCGAAATGTTGTACAGACACCTGGGGCACCTGGACGACCCTGCCTTCAACAGCACCGGGGTCACCATCGCTTTCACGCCCGTCACGGCCACCACCAGGCACATCATGAGCAAAGTGGCCTCCAGCTCTGTCATGACGGGTGGGTTTGCATTTTTAAATGCTGGGTTTTGCTGTTATTTTACCTTCTGTGTGTTTTCTGCGTTTCAGTGGTTCTCCAAGAGAGAGAATTCATCCTGAATCCTCTGTTTCCACAGATATTTCTTCTCTAGGATTTAAACGACTTGTGAGACCATGCTCCCTTCTGAACTGTAAAGCTCTGCCTTCCCAATGTTCYCTAATTCTTTTAAAAGCCCTTGGGTCGCTCTTTTGAGGTTCTTTTCCTCTCAGCTGGTGAAGTGTGACACATTTAGARCTGCCTCCCTGCCCAGTGGGAACTGGAAAAGGAGAAGCTGGAATGCTCAGAAAGCAGAATATTCCCTCTGGGTGCATTCCCAGCCTCACAAAAACTCATGGCAGTGTTTTCCTGACACTCTCCAGGTATACAGCTAGAGGAAGTGGATGAYGAAAGAGCCATGGAGAAAGCCTGGATTTCAGATGAGGACACCATAGGGGTTGTGTTTAAGGACAACTTCTCCTACCACCTCAGGTTTCCTACCAGAGACGTGGTTATTCCCAATGAAGTCATYGGATACGTAGGTAATACAAAATGAGAATTTTGGGGTGTTTGCCAGCTGTGGACAGGGTGGGAATAACCCACATTTGTTAAGGGATGGAATAAATGCTGGCTTTGGGTGTTTTGGTTTATTTTTTGGTCACTGTCCATTTGAAGTGTTTCCTGCAGTRCCAATGGATTCTCGTCATCATGTTTAACAGTGAAAATTAATTAGTTTTCACTAAAGTTTTCATTTCATTAGACAGCTGCTTCGAGTTKACCCCGATGCACTGCACCAGCCCCAAGTATTGGTACCGAGGCTTCCTGTCCCTGCAGTCCAGCATTGATGCTGCCATCATAGAGGTAAATCCCATTTAGGAGCTGATTTCAGCATCCTTTTGTTTTMAATTTGATACAGGAAAGGCAAATTCTGCTGTGGGAATAACAAGGGATGGGTTTGCCAAAAAATAGTTGATCTAGGGAGGAAAAAGCAGAACATACCTGGTATAAACCATCTTGCTGCAAAAAAAAAATTAAATATTACCTCTTCATCTTGCATTCCTTCAGATGGTGGCAAATCRTTCTGTTTGGGAAGAAATGAATTCCATCGCCGGCGTCCGAATGAAGACCCGGAGCGTCATCCTGTCCATCAGCCTCGACTACAGCTTTTTCATGGTCATTATCGTCATGTGCTTCTTCCCCTTCATGTATTTCTTATCCATCAACGTCACGAGAGAGAAGAAGAAGCTCAAAGTGTTGATGAAGACCATGGGGCTGCAGGACATCGCCTTTTGGTGAGTTCTTTTCCATCGGGATGTGTTTGCCCAAAATCAATCAGCTCCTGGGCGTTTCTTCAGTCAGTTCATGAGTTCAGTGTGCTCAGAAGTTTTCTTCGGCACTCGAAGGACAAACCAGAAGGTTGAACATGGCAGTGGTGTCCTCTTCTCCCTGGGGTGTTTCCTCCCAGGGTGGRTCATCTGCCTGTTCTGCCAAGGATGGGAACGAGAAATTATTTCCATMATWAATACTTAAATTYWAARCAATTCTGACCTGCAGATGAAGCTGTACAAGAGCTGTTAATTACCCACAGGGGTACACTTTCCCTCCCCAGGCTCTCCTGGAGTTTGCTGTACTCCCTCTACGTGCTGATCTTCTCCTGCCTGCTGACGGCCGTCGTGCTGCAGGAGCATTTCGACACCAGCAGCTTCCCCACGGTCCTGCTCCTGTTTTTCCTCTACGGCCTGGCATGTGTAAGTCAGACTTTAAAGCCATGTTTTCTCACCACGTGATTTACTACAGAATCACAGAGTCACAAAATCACAGAGTCACAAAATCACCATGGTTGGAAAAAACCTTCAAGATCTTCGAGTCCAACCCTTGCACCAACACCTCAACTAACCCATGGCACCCATCACCACAACCAATCTTTATTTAAACACATCCAGGGATGGTGACTCCACTCCCTCCATGGGTAGACCATTCCAGTGCTTTATCACTCTTTCCATAAAAAAACTTTTCCTGATATCCARCYTCCATTTCCCTTGGCGCAGCTCAAGGYTGTGTCCTCTCATTYTGCCACTCAGAAGGACTTCAGTGGATTTTATTATCCAGGCTCTGCTCACTAGAGATCCGTGCCTGGCAAATGGAAGTGATATTTTTAAAGGTATTTATTTCTTTCAGCGGTTGAAGGAAATTTCTGTTCTTGCAGATCCACCTGGTTTTCATGCTCTGCTCCCTCCTAAAGACCTCCAAACTCGTCAGCTTCACGGGGTTCCTCGTCATCTTCATCTTTGGCTTCCTGAGCCTGGCCGTGCTGATAGAAGAGGTCCCGGAGCCTCTCATGTGGTTCCTGGGTCTCRTCTGTCCCTTTGCCTTCAACACCGGCATTGCCAAGGTAGGGGCACCACCCCTGCAGTGAACCTTCCCCTTCCACAGGAATTCACACCCTTAGCTCAAAAATCCACTGGTAAAACCTTCAGGGTTTTTTTATTCACACCCACATCCTGATCTGAACTGGGCAGCACCGAGGGGCTCCAACGCCACCACCACATTCCCCCGTTCAAAATCAGATGAATGYAGGACAAGCAGGGCCTCATTCACAAAAAATCTGCTGTTGGGGCTTTCTGAACTCCCACATGACCCCAAGGAAGCCTCGTCCCTGCACACAACAGCCCCATTATCCTCGGGGCTGGGCGGCAGCGGGTTTGGGAACATCAGGGACTGCATCCCTTGGCTCACCCCCCTCTTCCTGGCAGCAGGGACTGTGCAAACACAGCTCTGGATTTCTGCTGCTGCTGTCCCTTCCTCCATCCCCATTTTGGATAACTCTGTGCTGTTCCCCAGTTTCCCATTAGTCTCATCTCCAAATCCCTTTCTAGCTCTGGTAACCTAATTTTTAATCTGATATTAATATTTATGTATCAAGATTTCTTGATATATKTAAAATAAATCTGCCTGGAAGAGGAGATCTCTGAGCCAGCAGAAAAAGAGAGTGAATTTGTTAATTTACCATATGGCTAAATCAATCATTATGTAAATTATGGCATTTTGTCGTGACTCTGTCACGTCAACGGTGCCAGTATCAGGTTCCTTGAATTGTTCTCCTCTAAAACTCTGATCTTTTCTTCTCTTTCTGGATTGTTCTGGGAAATTCTGAATTAAAGCATTAAGATCTCTGCTCTGAGTAAATTTATTCCCCTTCCCCTCTAGAAAGAAAATAAGAACAGTTGTTCACTACTGCAGATGATTTCCAGGTTAACCCAAACAATCACACCTATTGTTCGATGGCATGTGCACTTTTCCAGCCTGAAATTTATTCTTGTTTATCCTTTATTTCAGATTTTCCATTTAGAAAAATTTGCAATAGGCCTCTCCTTTTCCAACCTCATGGGGGAAGCATACTTTCTATTTTCAACCTACATCGTGCTGGCRTTTGACTCAGTCCTGTACATGCTGCTGGCTCTGTATTTCGACAAAATTCTCCCAGGTAGGAATGGTTTGTTTTTATTTCKATGGATTGTGTGGGATTTATCAAGGAAATCATGGGCTATCAAGGAAAACCATTCTCCCAGTCAACCAAAAAAAATTTGGACTGAATGAAATKTATGTAATGAAGAGACTTTTCTGTTTCTGGCACTTGCTGGTAATTCTCAGAGTCAATGACAACTAATTATTTAATTTTTTTCTTGCTAATTATGCAGCTGTTGAACTATTTATGAGATTATAGCATAATAATAAAATCTTGAATTCGTTGGACAAAACCCTGAATCCAACCTTCTCGTCTCCTCTGCCTCTAYTCCAAACTTGGGGGGCTTTTGACTGGAAAAAGCACCAATTTTGAGGCAGCCAAGTACATTTGAACCTCCTAAAATCTCAAATGGTATCCTCATTRTGGCTTTGGTTAATGACAGATCATCTTTTTCCTTTCCTGGCAGGCAAATATGGGATCCCAGACCCTCCTTTGTTCTTCCTGAAGGCCTCGTACTGGATGAGGAGCAGGAGAGGCTCCAGCAGGAACATTCCCAGATCCACAGCAAACCCTGAGGAGCTCCTGGRGGATGCCATGGAACCGGTGCCCCCCGAATTCCTGGGCAAAGAGGCCATCAGGTTAAGGGAGAAGGAATTGCTGGTGCCTGGATTAACTTTGGGGGGTTTAATCCTCCCACTGATCCCCACTCCTTCCATCGGGTTTGACTTTTCCAGGCAKTTTTTTGCATTCATCAGCCTCTTGCAGTACACTTCGTTTTGCAGAGGAAAATCAGAGATAAAGAGATAATTCWGACTGGTCACTATGGGTGAAATTTGGATAAATTCAGTTTGATAAAAAACTAGGCTTTTTAAAAAATCTATCCTCTATTGCAATGGGCTTCGCCTTGTTTTTGCCAGTCCTGGTGCCCCATTTTTGGTGCCAGGTCATGATGTTCACAGCTGGGTGCAAAATAAGCCAAACCAGTGAATCTCAATGTTGTTCCTCAGCACTTCTTTTTTTTTTTTTTATGCCATTTCTGTCGTTTTAACCTAAGTGCCATACAAATGTAAAAAGGCATCAGGGAAAATCATTAAATCATTTACAGAAATCCCCACRTAATAACCTCCTTACCTTCCTTTTAGGCTCCACAATATTAAAAAAACCTACAAAAGGAAGGAMGGGAAGACAGAAGCTTTGAGAGGTATGAAAGCTGTGATGTTGTTTCCTGTTACAAGGAAACACAGTTGTGCAAATCAATGTGATCAATGTATGTCAATCAATGTAATAAAACACTTACACTGCTTGGAAATTTATGTCAAATATTAATTGATGTGACATTACTMTTTTGTTCATTTTTTTACTGATTTTCTCTTTTTTATAAGACTAAAGAGAAGAAAGATTTATTTTTTCAATTGCTGTATTTTTGTCTTTTCTGCTAAATACAGACCAACTCCTTTTGCCTTTAGTTAAATGTTTGCACAACTTTGCAACACTCAATGCCCTTTTTGCCAATTATTACAATTTAAATCTTGTATTTCTTGATTTCTCTTGCTTGGGGCAGCTCAAACCTCATTTCTTCCCAAAGCTGATGTTGRTTTTGTTGCAGGTTTGTCCTTAAACATTTACGAGGGTCAGATCACTGCCTTGCTGGGCCACAGTGGGGCTGGGAAGACAACGCTGCTGAACGTGCTCAG